TAACTTACCTCTTTGTTTTCATCACGACTTGGGCACATGTGTGAGTCCAACAACCCAAAACATTAGCACACAGCACTGGCTCCACACCAAGCCCCGGCGATCCAAGATGGCGCCCTATTCAAATGAATGGTTGTGCTCAGTGGCGCTTTGTGACAGCATGGGGGCTGAAAGATTAGCGGAAGTTGCCTGAAACTCGCAAAGATCTATGGGAAACTCGCCTGTATTTGGGCATCGCCTGGTCCTCCCGGTTCTGTGCAGTGGATGATCTCCCATAATGCGTTGCGTCAAACATCCGTGTGTGGGTCTCACACCGGGTCTCACGCACGTGCACAGAGGGGCTCGGCTGCGCTCTGACCAATCAGAGCAGTTCATCAGAGCGGGAGTTAGAGCGAGAGCCAGACAGCAGAGTTTGTGGCACTAAAGTGTGGATTTAAACAAAACCGAAGGATTTAAGAAGAAAAAAAGTTCAGGATGACAAGGGACACTAAAATCCCCACAAAATCCGATCTTTATTAAAGCTGTAGGTTCTCTGTCAGCTGAGGTTGAGCTGTTTTAATATGCATTGAGTTCTATGGGGAAAATTTCTGGGTAGCCCACGTGAATTTAGTCTGGTTCAGTCTGGTTCAGTCTGGTTTAGTCTGCAGTACCGCGAGAATCCCCTGAGCACGTGAGTTATTCAGCTATAAGCTAGTAATACCCTATCCAGTTAATATAATACATCCATGCTCCACACGGAGTCAGGGTGCGTTCAAAGACGGGGGAAACCGTGGGAATTTTTAGCTTTTGGCGGAAAAAGTGCGGAAGATTCTCAAGATTAACCTTATTACATTGCCGTCTTCCGAGGGGGGCACTGGGGGTGGCAAGGGTATTTTTAGAGGTGGCAGTGGCCACCCTGGCTACCCCTCTGGCTCCGCCACTGCATGGCTCGCTCTGTCCTCTAGACCAGGGTTCCCAAAGTTTTTAGCCCGCGACCCCCATCATAAATGCCCTGCTAACCCGCGACCCCCCCCCCCCAACAGCCCTTCCGTCACATGAAATGAGCATGTATTTCCTTGATACGGAGTAACGCTTTCTAGAGACTCACGCCACTACCGAGCTGCACTGTCCAGCCCAAAAAAGGAGGCTTGCATATTTTTACTCATGTAGTGACACAGTGATGGGCTTGGTGGGCTCCCTCCTCATCAGAAGTGGAGCGCATTTCTTGCGGCTCGCCCTCACTGTTCTCCTACCGCGGTAAAGTGGGCCGGCTTTCCGGAGTCAGCAGTAAAGAGGTCCGCACATTAAAAGCGGGCGGCCGCTTTCTGCTGTTACTTTATGCGGTTCATCCCCGCGGCTTCTCTTTCCAAAGTTACTGTCAGTAAAGGCATAAACCGGCCACCCGCTTTTAATGTGCGGACCTCTTTACCTTTGACTCCGAAAAGCCGGGCCTCTTTAACGCGCTGTTCTACCGCTGTCCTCCCTCCCTCGCTGCCCTCCCTCCCTCCTTTGCCCTCTCTCCATCTCTTCCCCTGATACAAGTGACTTTTCTCCCCCTCCGGGTTTTTCTGTTGTGGATATTAACCACGTTTCATTTTAAAGCAGGTATTATTTATTTGTAGCCTCCAAACACCTTTAGTTTTAGCAAACAACAGCAGGACACGCTTTGTCGCTGCGCATGATGTGAGCTGTGTTACGTGATGATTTTGATTGACGCTGCAATGACTGGGACAAAATTACTAACGTTATTAAAATATATTATAGTCTCCAAACACAATTTAACAAGTAGTCCTTTTGAATCAAATCAAATGCTAAATAAATATTTAAGGGCTTTATATTTGCTCAAAAAAAAAAAAAAATCATCTTGCGACCCCCCCCAGGGGTTCCCGCGACCCCCCGGGGGGTCGGGACCCCCACTTTGGGAACCACTGCTCTACACGTCAGCTACAGTGGTCACTGTTTGATTTCAAATGTATTCATCTCAGTTTTCCCGAATATTTAAAACATTATCTGATTCCTTTCCAATCCTCGTAAAGTTTGTATCATGCAAATCAATCTTTTTTATGGTTCCAAGAGTGAAAAAAGAAGCATGCATTTGAATTTAAGGGTGTATTCAGACCTGCACTTTTAGTCCACTTTAAACCAGGATTTGTTTGGAACTCTGATTCGGACCTTTAATGCAGGTGTGAATGCACACAAACGAATCCTGGTCCGGACCAAAGAACCGAACAGAGTTCCAAACGAATTCTGGTCCGAGTTGTATTCAGGTCTGAATACAACTGGTGTCGATCCAACACAACTCCAAGATACGTGCTCATTTTTTGGGCTTAACAAGCCACGGTTGACAGAAAGTGTGAGGAATTAGCCACGCGTCAGAGCTGCTAACGCTACACAACAACAATGAGCCGTGGGCCGACCTGGAGCAACGAGGAGACGCTGTGCAACAGGCTTATGGAGTTAAAACAGTTCACAGTATACAGTGATGTTAATGGCAGCACCTTCAAATCATTTGCATTAAGCCTCACGTGTTTGACTCACGTCTCAAAGAGCAATATCCGTATCATGCGTATCATGTAAGTAAGTAATCTTTATTTATATAACGCCTTTTCACTGTCTCAAAGCGGTTTACAATTGTTATTTTTGGGAGTGGGGGTGCCAGTACAGGAGGCAGACCTATTGTACATATTTTTAGTGGTAGGGGAAACCAGAGCACCCGGAGGAAACCTACGCAGACACGGGGAGAACATGCAAACTCCACTCAGAAAGGCCCTGGTCCAACTGGGATTTGAACCCAGGACCTTCTTGCTGAGAGGCGAGAGTGCTATCCACTCAGCCACCGTGCCGTGTAGTGAATTGTGTTCTTTGCTTCATACCTGATCCTGCGTCGTCTGTTCATCCCGTTGTTATCATAGATCCATGGTTTATCCACAATGCTGCTGTCAGTAAGTTGTGGAAAAGAGTTTTTATTATAGATCCATGGACAGGGCTTTTTACAGCACGCATTCGCTGACACAGTTCCAAAATGTGAAATAACGCGTTTCGCCTTTTCGAATGAGCTGCTGTTGATGTTGAAGGTGGTTTTGCTCTAAAAAAAGCAAATAGAGGCAGAGCAGACAAGCAGCACATGCGAGCTCAATGTTTTCCTCCGGTTCCACATCTAATGTCCGTGAGCTCTCTGTCCAATAGCTCCAATTACAGTACAGTCACGGCGTGTGTGTGTGTGTGTGTGTGTGTGTGTGTGTGTGTGTGTGTGTGTGTGTGTGTGTGTGTGCGTGCGTGTGTGTGTGTGTGTGCGTGCGTGTGCATGTGTGTGTGTGCGTGTGTGTGTGTGTGTGCGTGTGTGTGATTGAGAAACGAGACGATTCATCTCAAGGGACTTATCCTCTAATTAAATATATAAATACTTTGTCCCAAAATACATTTGGCCAAATGCTTTTGAATGTTATCTTTGTCTATCTTTAGCTCTCACGTACGGTCTGTGCAGAGTTCACACCCAAAAAAACAACACAAACAAATAAATAACAATGCTGCTGCCATTCCTTCCAGCTGATCTGCCTCTGAGTCACTGAAGCGATAAGATGTGCAGAGACAATAGAACACAAAACCTGTGTTAAGTTAGAGCAGCTCCCTGTGACTCTGAACTAGGGCTGGGGCTTAAGCTCAAAAACAATATTTAAATTTCATAGTTTTATTATTATTAAAATTTGAATTTACATTTGGACCAATAAATGTAATAACCCTGAGCGTATAAAACAGAAAACACTTTTTCCGCTGGCCACACGTGCAGCAACCAATCAGAGAGCCGCAAAGTGGTCACGGGGACATTAGCGGACTGAGCAAGCAGACTGAAAATACTCATAAACAGCCAAAACAGGACCCACACCAGGCTTCACCAGAACTCAAACCAGGGTTGACAATGGGGGACTCTGTGCTTGTGAAAATATGCATTGTCATGCTCCCGTGACCTTATGCAACTGCTTCGAGTGTGTTCGCCGATGCGGAAATTCCATTTAATAATATAAAAAACGTATGGCGCACCTCCGTGAACACATTCTGCTGTTATATAAAGCCCGTGGAATGTCTGTGAGCAAAGACACGCTGCAAAGCTGCATATTGGAGAAGATCTGTACACAAGAAGCCGCTAGCATTGCTCTGTTAGCATCAGAGCCGGCCGGCTACTTCCGGTACTTCCGGCTCGCGTCAGGACATCTCGGTCTGAAGACCCCTGCGTCTGAAAACTAGAGAATGTGCGTCTGGTGAGCGGGGCTTCAGCGTTTCAGCGTTGGCGGTCTGAAAGCACCATTAGAGCGAGAGTGATCTTTCTCGTTCATTGACAAGGAATGAGGAAGTGATTGACAGGAGCGAGAAACCAAAACATGGAATCAGCACGCACAGCCTTTCCCAGCGTATGGTACGCGCCTAACACAGTCAGTGTTTGCTTCTCTGCGGTTTTTCTGCTTCTGTCAGTGACTAAAAGTGTTAGCATCATGTCAACTTGGAGAAAATGTGATGGCTCACAGTGAAAGGGGCACAAGCAAGTTTTGAGTGTTTTATGGTGCATCACCCAAATTATTATCACACACCTGCATAGGATGGACTGTGAAGAATTAAGAAATAATAAATAAATCAAGTTTTCTATAAACAAATCATTTTATTTGCTGTACAGTTTACACAGTCATGGCGTGAACTTGATTTTTACCTAATCCTCCATAATCAGGTAATTATTCTTATGTACCTAATTGTATGTTATTTAGTACCATATTCTTGCAAAGCAGTGACGCACATATTAAGCTAGAACAATAGTCACGGTCTAACCAGTTCCAGTGAGTTATAAGAATAAACAGGTTTATTGTTGTGTGACGTGAAAGGGGGTGGTGCGTTCTCAAAACCAGAATGATCGTCAGAGCAACGGGCCCTCCCAAAGCACATCCAGTTTAAAAGGAGTCAGAAGGAGCAGCATCCATCAGAACAGTCACAGGTGCATTAGACAGGAGAAAGACAGACGCCTGAAGACATCTGCAGACATGAAGACTGCACTCAAGCTGCTGCTGTCCCTGGCCTTAGCTGTGGCTCTGTCCATCAACACAGGTGAATATCAGCCGCACTATAGTCCTCATGTGCTCCTGCAAAACATGGCATTTAGACCTCCAGCCACAGGGGCTGTGCTTTTTAAACATGTGATATACTAATGATATCTTATAGTGCACGGAACTGATCCCAGGAGCTTTTTGGGTGAGGCCCTGTGAGCTGGGTGAGGTCATGTGTGTACTGACAATAAACTGGATTTCTTCTGTCTCACTGAACACCTGGTTTTCTCTCTGGTTCACAATCTCCCATCGCTTCCATTATACACCGCCCTCCCAAAACCTGTACTTAATTCCTTTCAGACTTTGCAGGCTTTTACACACAGCTTTCCTCCATCTCTCCCTCTGTTCTCCTCCTTGGAGATTTCAACATCCATGTTGATAATCCACACTCTAAATTTGCAGCTGATTTTCTGGACTTTTTAAACTGCCTAAACCTCATCCAGCCTCAACTCATCTGCTTCTCTGCCTCATTATCAATCCAAAATATCACACACACAGACCTCACCCTCTCCGACCACCTAGCCGTCACCGTGGATATTGCCATACCCAGTCAAACTCCCAAACAAACACGCACAATAACATACCGCTATCTAAAGTCCCTCAGTTCCCTCCTCTGTATCTAATACTTTATCCTCTTCCTCTCGCCCCCCTCCTGTCTCATCCACCTCAGAACTCATTGACCATTATAATCAGACCCTCTCCTCCTGCCTGAAGCAATTTGCTCCCCTCAAAATGGCCAGTCTCCTTTTCCTCCTTTTCTTCTGCCCCTTGGTTCACCCCAGACCTCTACAACCTCAAGAAGAAACGGCGACAGCTTGAAAGACTCTATGCCAAGACTGATCTTACTGTTCATGCCAAATCTTACAAATACCTCACCAATACCTACAACACCGCTCTCAAATCCGCCCGTTCTGATTATTTCTCTCAGCTTATCCACTCCAATTCACACAGCCAAGCTCCTCTCCAACATGACACTAGGCACCTGCCACCTTGACCCCACTCCATCCCCTCTCCTAAAATCCTGCATCCCCTCTCTGACCCCACTCATCACAAACATCATCAACTCCTCCCTCACCACCAGTACTGTCCCTCCAAATCTCAAAATTGCCATCATCAAGCCACTCCTCAAAAAACCCAACCTGGACAAGTTCCGCCCCATCTCAAATCTCCTTCTCCTATCAAAAATCCTAGAACGTGCCGTCATCACCCGAGTCCAACACTACCTCCACACCTTCACTCTCTTTGAAAATGTCCAATCCGGTTTCCGTCACAACACAATACAATTTACAATACAATTCATTCTTGTATAGCCCTAAATCACAACAGAAGTCATCTCAGAGGACTTAACAAAACCATTGAAATCACCAACACAGATCAGAGAATCAACAGTTAAAACACATAAAGAATATAGAAAACATTTAAAAACACGTTAAAAAATGTCCATACATGTTGTAGAATGTTAAAGTGTCCTGGATCATCACCACATTCTTTTTGTTGGACACAAACTGTCCAACAGACCCTCCTGCATCGGCAAGGAAAAACTCACAAAAACCCAGTGGGAAAAAAGTGAGAAACCTCTAGGAGACCCACTAGTTGAGAAAGGGATCCACTCCTAACGGACAGACGGGCTATAGATCCAGGACCTAAGCTACAGGACTTGGACCAGTGGCCGCTGAACGTGGACAGGTCCAGTGCAGGACTGAGGAACTCCCAGGCGGGTCGGGCAGGGAAGTCCGCAGGTGTAGATGGAGGAGGCCAGGTTCAGAGGTCCTGCCTTCACGCCATGAAACAGACAATGAAACAATGGGTGAATAGCAATGAATTACAGTCAAAATCCTAATAATGCTAAAAAGATAAAGTAGGAAGGAGGAGAGGATAGTGCTCAAGTTACCATACTTCTCCCAGCAAACTGACTCCCTATGCAGGTTGACTGACAGTCTGAGGAGTTTAGCCTTCCCTGAGTCTTGCCTTCCTAACCATATGCCTAAACTAAACTAGACTGTTTTAGCCTAGCCTAGAACGTAGTGTTGAAGATGCAGCGGACTGGGTCCCATATACGCAGACTCCCAAGACTGGACGAAACATGACCGGACAAACAAACTAACCAAATGCCAAGTTGAAAAAGAGTGTTTTAAGCCTGGCCTTAAATGTAGAGACAGTGTCTGCTTCCTTAACGTCCGTGGGGAGCTGATTCCACAGTAAAGGAGCTTGGAAGCTAAATGCACTGCCGCCGACAGTGCTTTTTGAGACCTTAGGAACCACCAGACGTCTGGCGTTTTGCGAGCGCAGTGCTCGGCTTGGTTGATAAGACCTTAACATGTCTTGAAGATAAGAGGGAGCCAAGCCATTTTTGGCTTTGTATGCCAAGATAAGAATTTTAAACTTTATTCTGTACTCCACAGGAAGCCAGTGGAGTGATTTTAAAACAAAAGTTATGTGCTCCCTCCTTTTGGTGCCTGTTAAGATCCTTGCTGATGTATTTTGAACAAGCTGGAAGCTCTTCAAAGAGGTTTTAGGCCACGCTGCCAGCAGAGCGTTACAGTAGTCAAGTCTTGAGGTGACAAAGGCGAGGATTAGTTCTTCCGCATCATTTTTAGGAAGGAAATTCCTGATTTTAGCAATGTTACGCAAGTGGAAATATGCTGTTTTAGTTGCTTGGTTTATATAAGTCTTGAAGGAGAGTTGTTCGTCGAAAATGACTCAGAGATTCCCCACAGTGTTACTGGGTATAATACTGACATTATCGAGAGTGATTATCTGGTCGGCGAGGGAGTCACGCAGGCGCTTCGGACCGAGTAGGATCACTTCTGTTTTCTCCGGGTTAAGCAGTAGAAACTTAAGAGTCATCCACGTTTTAAGGTCCTTTATGCAAGCACTAAGCCTGCATAGTGCCTGCATAAAGGCTTAGTGATTTAGTTTCATCGACAGATGAAGCTGTGTGTCATCTGCGTAGCAGTGGAAATTAATTCCATGCTTTTTAATGATGTTTTCTAACGGTAGCATATAGAGTGTGAAAAGAATCAAGTACTGATCCCTGGGGCATACCGAATTCCACTCTAGAGTAGGGTGACGAGCTTTGATTCACATTGACAAAGTGATACCAATCCGATAAATAGGATTTAAACCAGCCAAGGGCTGTTCCTCTAAGACCTATATCACATTCTAGCCTCTGCAGTAGAATGCTGTGGTCTATTGTGTCAAATGCAGCACTAAGGTCCAGTAGGACCAGCACTGACACTTGTCCATTATCAGCAGCTAGTAGTAAGTCATTTGTGACTGTAACTAGAGCCGTTTCAGTGCTTTGATGAGCTCTGAATCCTGATTGAAAAACATTTTTTTTCTGCAGGGGGCAGCAAAACTGTTTAGCTATAAGCTTTTTCAGGATTTTGGATATGAAAGTAAGGTTCGAGATTGGTCTGTAGCTTGTAAGTAGTTCCGGATCCAGGTTTGTTTTCTTCAGAAGGGGTTTGATAACAGCAGTTTTAAAAGCTTGTGGGACATAGCCACATTGTATGGATGCGTTTATTTTATTTAAGATAGGCTCTATTATCAAAAGAAGTGTGTCTTTAAAGAGCCATGCCGGGAAGTTGAGGCTTTAGAAGGTGTGACCGCAGAGATCACTTCCTCTTGGCTCACAGCCGTGAACTTGTCGAGGCCCACTGAAGAATCCAGGTGGGAAATCAAGTGCAACGCTTCAGCCTGTCCATTACCAACACTAGGAGTGGTTTCCTCCAGTTTTTCACAGATGGATGTAATTTCATCATTAAAGAAGTGAAGAAAATCGACACTGCTCAGTGAGCTTGGAATTTTAGGCTTGTTTTTATTTGCTTCTATTAAAGTTGAATAGTATTGAGTTGATGATGGAATGATGCTATCCTCACAGAAGTGAATGTATGACGTCACAGTGTCCGTGTATTCAGCCACAGATAGTTTGGATGAATACACGGACACTGTGACGTCATACATTCACTTCTGTGAGGATAGCATCATTCCAACAAGGACCAGGGTCATCTATAACAATGACAAACCCTGGTTCACTGCTAAACTCCGGCAGCTCAGGAAAGCAAAGGAGTCTGCTTTCAGGGAGGGGGACCGCAGCGGCTACAAAGCAGCTAAATATCAGTTCAGGAAAGAACTGAAAGCAGCCAAGTCACAGAGAACGACTACAGGAGCAGTTTGGTAACAACGATGCTGCTTCTGTCTGGAGGGGCCTACGGGAGATCACCAACTACAAGCCCAAAGCCCCCCCCCTGTGCTGACGACCACAAGCTAGCTGACGAACTGAACTTATTTTTCAGTCGCTTTGATGCTGCCCCTGACACCTCTCCCTCCCCCACCCCCCAACGACCCACATCAGCCCTGCCCCCAATATACAACAATAGCCTCTAAAGAGATTAAACACCCCCGCAAAGCTCCTGGCCCGGACCACGTGTCTCCGGCCACTCTGAGACACTGCGCCAGTGAGCTTACTTCTGTGTTCACTGACATTTCCAACACCTCTCTGCAGTCCTGCCGTGTCCCGGCCTGCTTCAAATCCTCCATCATTGTCCCCGTCCCGAAGAAGCCCAGGATCACAGGACTCAACGACTACAGACCTGTAGCACTTACTTCTGTCGTCATGAAGTCATTTGAACGCCTGGTCCTCTCCCATCTCAAGTCCTTCACCTCCCCCCTCCTGGACCCCCTGCAGTTCGCCTACAGAGCCAACAGATCTGTAGACGACGCCATTAATCTGGCCCTCCACCACATCCTACAGCACCTGGACTCCCCGGGGACCTACGCCAGGGTCCTGTTCGTGGACTTCAGCTCTGCCTTCAACACAATCCTGCCATCCCTGCAAGCTCTCCCAGCTCAACGTGCCCGATTCCACCTGCAGGTGGATCACTGACTTCCTGACAGACAGGAAGCAGCGAGTGCGTCTGGGGAAGAATGTCTTGGACTCTCGGATTATAAATACAGGAGCCCCACAGGGCTGTGTTCTTTCTCCCCTGCTCTTCTCCCTGTACACCAACCACTGCACCTCCAGCCACGACTCCTTGAAGCTGATCAAGTTCGCGGACGACACCACCCTCATTGGACTCATGACAACGATGAGTCCGCCTACAGGAGGGAGGTGGACCGGCTGGTGTCCTGGTGCAGTGGTAACAACCTGGAGCTGAACGCCCAGAAGACAGCGGAGAGAAGGCCCAGCAGAGGATGTACTTCCTGCGGCAGCTCAGGAAAGCCAAGCTGCCTACACAGATGTTGGTGCAGTTCTATACGGCCATCATCGAGTCCATCCTCACCTCCTCCATCACCGTGTGGTTCGTTGGAGCCACAGTCAGGGACAAACAGAGACTACAGCACATTGTGCGCTCTGCAGAGGAAGTGATTGGCCGCAGTCTTCCATCGCTACAGGACCTGTACGTCGCCCGAGCTCGAGGCCGAACAGTTTCTTCCCCTCTTCCCCTCTGCTGTTGGACTCTTGAACGCAGAGCTCTTTTTGGCCAGAACGCTCACATTTTACTCCGGGCCTGTGGAAGTAGAAAAACAGCACCTACTATAAATGCTTCCTGCTTCTCAAGAGAGCAGTCGTGTGTCTCTCTGCTCTGCTTTTGCTTCGCCTTTTAATCTCCTTGAATCATTTTATTTACATTTTTTGTTTCTCCTTTAATCATTTTATTTACAAAACGAGGATTACTCCTTCTACACACTTCAGCTTTGTGGAATTTATCAACTTTAGTCATGTCGGGACGAAAGAGACGGAGAAGCGTCTGCGGCGGCTGTTGTGCTCTGGAATATCAGCTCAAATCTCTTCAAACACGGATATCTATTGTGGA